CAGCAAGGGGCCAATTCCTCCTTCCTCTGCTGGTCATCCAATTCTACTCAGACCCTCAAAAGATTGGGTGACGCCCACCCACCTGAGGGAGAGCAACATCCTGCCAGACACACCCAGAGATGATCTTCCATCTGAGCAGCCTAAGGCCAGTTAACCCATAACATTAACCACCATGGCACGGACTCAAACCTAAAGTCAAGTTGCTGTTGTCATTGCCCTGTTCACCTGGTGGATCTTTCAACTTGTCAGCTCAGCCAGGAGCTGCAGAAACTGAAGAGTTTTCAGAAGAGGGGAAGTGAGAGAGAGAAGGAAGAGATGGCGGTGGGCTGAGAAGACTGAGGAAACAGTGAGTCCCTGTCAAGTTTCTCAATTTGGGTTACAATGCCACCAGCTGCCTAACAAAGCCTCTTATTCTGCTTCCTGGGTCTGAAGATGGTGCTTCTCCGTCTTGCTGGCTCTTGGCCACTCTCTGCCTGCCATTGTCATGGTCTGAGAGAGAAAAGCACCTGAAGAGTGGTGCCAGAGGAATCTGGGTTCGAATCCTCCCATCATCACTTATAATATGCTTCTGGTCAGTTTGTTGACTGAGCTGTTGGCAAGGTAGCTCAGGGGATGGGGAGATTACATAAACTCTTTGCTATGTGAGAAAGGACCAATAAGCAGCAAACCTCCCCACAAAAATTAAGCGAGGTTTCCGAGGTATACTTTCATTTTTTGGTTTTTGCTTTTTAAATTCTTTTTTATTAGAGTGGAACATTAGAACAGGAAATTGCACATATCCTAAATACACAGCTTACTGACATTGTGGAGAGTGATATCCTTTCGTGACCACCACTCAGATCAGATATCCACATCCTTTGGCAGGGGACTTCTACATTGTATCAGGTGGATGTGTGGTCCACGGATATGGCAGAAGCAATGGTATACGACTTCCAAAGAGAAATCATAAATATGTTATGCCTTGCTCCTTCTAGGATCACACACTCTGGGAGAAACTCGTTGCCATATCATGAAGACACTAAAGTAGTCTACTGGGCGAGGAGCTAAGGACTGCTGCTAAGAACCATGTGAGCATGTCATCTCTGAAGCAGATCCTCCAGGCAAGCCCAGCCTTCTAATGAGCATAGCCTGGTCAATATTAGGACCACAACTTTGTGAAAGAGACATCCTGAGCCACAACCACCCAGATAAGCCACTCTCAGATTTGTGACTCTCAGGAAGTGTGAGATAATTAATGTTGTCTACTGCCACTGGGTTTTGGAGGAATGTGAAATGCCACGATAGATATAAAATCTAGTTTGACCACACTTGTCTAGGGCCAATGTCTGCGGCCAACTCAGTCGTTAGCCATTCACTCAAACACTCATTCGCTCTTGAAGTAAATATTTATCATGAGCCGACCATTTGGCCACCAGGTTATTCAGTGATGAAAAACAGACCCAGATTACTGCTATGATATGAGCTCTATCCTAGTAGGGAGATGCATAGAAACCACCAAAAGAAACACACTAACAAGGTTTGGTGAACTACGGAGGAAACAAATGGAGGTTGGTGATTGAGACAACAGGGTGACCCCTAGGAAGGGTGATGAGGGATGACTTTCTGAGGGAGTGGCATCCAAGGTGAACTCTAAAGAGTAAGAAGGAATAAGCAGTGAGAAGAGGTGGACAAAGGATCCAAGGGGAGGGACAAGCGGCTTATGATGAATGTTTACTTCAAGAGCGAATGAGTGATTGAGTGAATGAATAAAGACTGAATTGGCTGCTGACATTGGCCCTGGGGAAGGATGGGCACTGTGGCTGGAGCACGGGGTACATTGAGGTGGGGGAGCAAGATAGAAATGCAGAGCCCATAATTGGCTGGTCCCACTCAGGCCATGTAAGCCAAGCAAGGAGAGTGGGTTTCTTCTGAAGAGCAGGGGACAAAGGGTGTACTGGCTACTCCTGATTTTGTTGAAGTGCTCTCTTGCTGAAGAGTGGAACAGAGGGAGGACAAAGCCTGAGGGGACTGGGAAGAAGAGGGATGTCACCTTGCACTAAGAGGAGAGAGGAGGGCTGTAACATCCGGAGGAATAGGAGATATGGGCAGATGCACAGTACCGGAGGAAGCATTAGTGGGGAATGACAGAGAGAGGAATCCCGGGTTACAGGGTCTTGTTGCAATAACTCTGGGAATATTGTTCCCTTTGATCTGGATAAGATCGTGTGGAGGAGGAACAGATCTGGGGAGAGAGGGTTTAGGGGGAAAGTGATAGACTTGGTTGTGCGTGAAAAGGTTGAAGACCTGGCTTAACCCAGGCAAGATGTCAGGCCCTGCACCTTAGCCTGCCTCCCTACCATTTCCAGCATAAACTCACCCCAAACCCATCATGTCATGAGAACACGCCACTCTGAGTTAGGACAAACCTCCGCACCTCCTGGCAAGGACCATCCCCCAACTCTGCACCTTGAAGTGGTCCCCGGTCACCACTGTGAACCCAAAAGGGACACCAGCAGCCAGTGTTTTGGCAAACCACCATCTTGTTACACAATGGTCCCTCGTGCCACTGGATGCAGAGGAAAAGCCCAGTCAGGTGCTTCTGGCACCTCGACCAGCTTGAGTCAACGTGGAAGAAGACTGTGAGACCAACACAGGTTCACGAGGAAGGAAAGAGGCCTCAAAAAGCAGAAGTGGGTCGTGGAGACTCGACCCTCTGGGAGGAGGCTTGAAATTGTTCCCCCTCAGAAGCCTGGCATTGCTGTGGGTGACCTCTGTGCTGTAGACATGACCCCGAGGGATGGGAGGCCTTGGCTGCCTGTAGCTCTGCTCCTTCTGCAGGTCCCAGGTGAGCGGGGCTGAGCCTGGGCAGGGAAGTGTGCCCTGAGTGGGAAGGAGGGAGACAGGGGAGACAGGGGAGGGACACAGGAGTCTTTCTTCTTTGGAAAGTCCACTCTACTGTGACTCTCAGGGCAGAGTACTGACAATGGACAAGTGACATGTCACTTCCTTGTGGTCAGGGTGTGTGTGGGGGGGCGGCCCATGGGGAGGGAAGCAGGACCTGGGAGGGAGGAGGGAGAGCAGAGAACATTCTAGGATCGGCCAGCACTGCCCCAGCAGTGACCAGGAGCATTCAGAGCATGAAGCGGGTGAGTTCAATCCACTACAGTGTACAGAGCAACTCTGAGGAGAGGGGCGCCTGTGACCACCATTACTGTAGGGTCACAGTCAGAAAGGAGATCTTGGTGCATGACACAAACACACACACACACACACACACACACTGAATACCCTCTCCTTGTGCCCCTTTGTGGGTAGGGAGCTACCTCCTCCCCCTCTAGTCTCAGGAAACGTCTGTCTCCTGCCAAGACCTCCTCCAGTCCCTGAGATCTTTTTGGGGAATCCAGGGCCACCATGACCCCAGATCCCCTTCACCCAGGCTCATCTGGTGAGGGACCACACTCAGTTGTGTTCCAGGCTGTTGGTGTCTGAGTGGCCCCACCTCCGTGACGGGCACCGTGAGCGGATCTCTGAGCGTGCAGTGTCAGTACGAGGAGAAATTCAGAGAGATGTCCAAATACTGGTGCAAAAGCCCATGTGTGTGGACTACTGTAAACACCAAAGAGGCAGACAGAGAAGTGAAGAGAGGCCCTGTGTCCATCAGGGACCATCCCGCCAACCTCACCTTCACAGTGACCTTGGAGAACCTCACAGAGGATGATGCAGGAACATATTCGTCTGGGATCGATACATCATGGCTCCCAGGATATTTCCTCGACCTCACTTTCCGTGTTGTGGTGTCTGTGACCCCAGGTGAGCTGTGAAACCCCCTCCCCCAGCGCCAGCACCAGGGCTGCCTGAGCCTGGGACTGATCACCCTGACCCCAGCACAAAAGCGGTGGGTAGTGGGATAGAGGAGTGGAGTGAAGATGGGGTGGGTGACACCGGGGTTGTGCATGTGTGTGTCCGTCTATGTGTGTGTGTGTGCACGTATGTGTTGTGTCTGTTCATATGTCTGTGTGTCTATGTGTGTGTGTATTTGTGTGTGCGAGCATTGTGTTGTCTGCACACTCACACAAGCCCATGCACACCTCTGGCTGATGTAGGCGCTTCCATGTGCCCCACCCTGACACACTCCCCGCTTAACCTCTCCCAAGGTGGGCAGTGGGGATGGGCCTGAGTCTGGGGTCAGCTGCCTTCCTGTCCTGACAAGGGTCCTGTCCACGCTGAAGGGGACCCAAATCTCTTCCTGGACCGCTCTCTGTCCTCCCAACGGGGAACGGAACTCCT